TGTGTTTGTACCGTTTTTAAACTTTGAACACCCGCAAAAAGTTGAATAATGTAGGAGCACAACTTTCCAGATGTTTTGAATTTTTTTCAAAGCAGGGTCTTTACATGACGCTGTAAGCTAAAAGTTCCAAACATATTCCTACAGTGATGAAGAGCTATTCTTATACTGTAAATCTGAGTTGTAGCCAGCTCCAAAACGATACCTAAAGCTTCTCAGAGGCTTCGAGAGTTATTAACAAAAAAGTATGCACTAGTAGCATTTTTTGGAACATCATATTAATACTACAGATGTATTTTCTCCTACCAATATTTCTGAACTTATAAATTTTGGGGTTTGCGTGCCAGATGTTGCTTTCATAGTAGGTTTAGAATGTGATTGCTTTCAAAGATCGCCAGAATTATACCGTCGTTTATCTCTAATCGCTAAAATTCAAAAGTCAAACTCTCTACTTTTAAAAGGATAGTTATCAGATAGCGCCGAGGACCATACGCTATTTCTGCATTATCTCTTGCCTTTAGAGTTATACAATATTCGGCGATCTTTTCGGTAGAATCATACATGTGAGAAAAACGTGAATGCTTTCTGTTTTGAAGAACAGGGTATTTTGACAAAACATATTTTGCAATGTCATCAATGCTACATACTACATACTACATTTGGTGGGAACCAAGTGTTGTAGGCGATAGTGGTGTCGATAATAATTTATCTACAGACCAACCCGGTGTTGGACCGGGGGAGCAACCTATAATACAATCGGGGGCTCCTTATATAGGTAGTAAGGCGGAGCTGACCCGTGCACAATCAGAATGTCCAGGAAATATGTGCAAGAAAGAGGATGCCGCGGCTTGGCGCGGCCCCTGGAAGATAGGTGCCACTCATTGGTGAGTGATTCGGCACTTAAATATAAGCGATTGGGGAATATAGCCCATGGGGAATACCCGTAAGCTATTGGGATTATAGAATTGTGAGGTTGATGATACATAAATCATCAACACTACATCTCAATACTATATTCAATGCCATCTTTACACTGTGCTGTACTCATAAAGTGAAGCAACAATTATGACCTTGTAAAATGTGAAAATCTTCTAAGAGGTGATCTTTAAATTTTAGAAAAAAACTGGAGCCGTTTTGTTGAATACCGTTGAAGTTACTGAATCACCGCGACCAACAGCCAATATACTACGGTATATCGGAGGGGCTACTCTTCGTGAGCCGAAGAAGCTGAATGCGGTAAAGAAATTGCTGTATTTTCGCTTGATGTTGAACCTTAATATTTTAGGAATTTGATGCCTTATTAAACAAACGTCCCCAAACCGTCCTATTTTCACTGGGGTCAAATTCCCTCTCGAAAGACATGCCTATGAGACTGAAGCAAGGTATAAAGTTTTTCTCATGAATACTCGCCTGGAAAAAGGGATATCTGTCCATTTCCAAATGATAACCGTGAAATTGTGCGAACTTATCGATTGACATTTTCTATTTTCTTAAAGATTGTCGCTTTTTTACACTTTTTTTGATTTAGAGATAATTGCTGCCTTTGCTTCATTTCCCAACACAACATTCATATGGAAGTACGAGGAGGAAAATGATGCTATACTCTTCAAAAAATACCCGAATATATACACTATGAAGTGGGTACCTCAAACTGATTTGCTTGGTAAGTGCCTTTCATTTTTCTTCGACGCAATCCATTTCGAAAATAACACAGTAGAGTATTTTTTGCTTAGTATAGTGTGCTTGCGGTGCCGAGAAAATGCGGTAAAACCTGCGCGTGAACAAATTGCGCATGTGACGCTGGCCACTTGCGCGCGCAAAATGCCAGCATTATTGGTGTGGCTAATTGTTCACGCGCAAATTTTCACTGCATTTTCTCGGCACCGCAAGCACACTATATCAAGCAAAAAATCTACTCGACTATGAAAAAAACTGTATTTTCTAGCTGATAAACGGCTGTCGCTTTTTATCACACACGCTGGCATGAATTCTGTCCTGGAAGCGGTGTTCTCTGGCAAACCGATGGTCACAGTTCCACTATTGTGGGACCAAGTCGCGAATGCGAAGAATGTGCAAAGCCGGGGTGTAGGAATTATGATTGATAAACATGATCTTAATAGAGACACACTGATTGCGGCTATTCGAGCAACGCTGCCCACCAATGGGTTAGTTTTTTTTGTGATATTTGGTGTATTTCTGTTCTCACAGTTGCTTAGAGCACTTACGCTCGCAAGGCAGCTAGTCTGGCCAGATATCTTCACGGACGACCAGCTGCAGCTCGTGCCGAAATATCCACACGAATATGATGTTTATCTCGTGCGACAGCGCCATCCGGTGGAGTTACGGTAGGACTACGGTAGAGGGTCAAAATCACGGACTTGCTTGAACTTGGCGTAGAGGGGTTATTTAGCCCGATGCCAAATATCACATGGTTTTGAACCATAACGTCATTTTCTCGTGTTACGGTAGCTACACGGTAACGGATGTAAAACATAGTTCTGCCTGAAACGGGTGTACCACGATTCGGACGATTGTGAAGCTTTGCACACACGATCACCGCCGCGCGCTACACACCCTTTGCCTAAGCAAAGCACAGGGGGAGATACATTTGCCGATTTGTGAGTTTGACTCCTACTGTAAACCTACCGTAACCATGCAGGGAAGCGTTTCCGTGCGGAGAAAGTGTGACATTCGTGATCAGCATGTCAGATAACCCTCTGTGCGAAGTTATAGCGAATTTTGAGATTTTGACCCCCTACCGTTTACCTACCGTAACTTCACAGGAAGGCGGTTTCCTGCGGAGAAAATGTGATATTCGTGATCAGCATGTCATGTCGTAACCCCCCTGGACCAAGTTTGAGCGAAATCCATGACCAAAAAATTTTGGGGCCCGGATAGCCGAATAGCGCCGACTTTAAATAAGAAACGCTCCAAGTCCATCCTGATAGGAGCTGTGTCTATAGCATTTTGGTCTGCTGGATAGACGGTAAGTTTCACAACAAATGTCGCGTTCGGCGGCAAATATCGAGACGGGACCACTAGGCGCTTTCATTAAGCCCTAATTAGGCACCGCTTCTGTGCGGCAGACTTTTTCACTCTAGTCTCGGACCCGAGCTTTTGCCACATTCAAGGCGCTCCTCATGCGGCTATCTCTTATCACAGCCCTTATAAATCATCGTCGTTGAAGAGTATATGCTCTAGCTCGGGCGCTAGAGGCGAGCTCCTCTCCAAATTTGTACATCTGTTTCCAGCTGGGACCAGGACAAAATGCGGCGCAAGAGAGGGAGAGCAGACAAGCGAGTCGTAGACGTGACGCAAAACCGTGGCGACGCGGATGCGCATCGACATTTGGCCTGAACTGCATTGGGACAGGCTGTAGTCAGGAAGAAACGCGAAAATGGTGCTTCCAGTGTGGAGACGAAGAAAATCTACGAGATTAGAGGTTGAGCACGTCGAGCTCGTGCGCAGTTGCGTGGACCTCAGAAACATCATATAGCCTGATGCGCGCCAGTTGCACTGAAATAAACAGCTAATCAGCACAACCTTCGACGCGCTAAGCATCTACTAATTTTTCTGAGTATTTATTTCGCTTGGCGTCCAGACGAGAAGAGTTCATTTTGTTTACTGGGCATTGAAATCTCTAGTCGATTTTCGTTCTTAAGCTGTTTTTCACTTGTTTTTATGTTACATCTCATTTGCTAGCTGTTTTTTTGCAAGCCTTTATTTGATGTTTTTCAGCACGAAATTTGCTGCTTTGTCGTTCATTGGCTGCGCCTCACTTGCTCTTCCGTCGGAGTGAGGAAGCTATTCGGTGCTGTTGCTAATGGAATGGCACATATTTGAAAGAACAGAACAATTCGGTGAAGACAGTGGCGCTGTCCTATCTGCGGTACTAGAAGCAATTATATTTTATCTCATTTATATCACGTTTCGGATTTAGTGTTTCCAATCACAACAAGACGTACGCTTACATGGACGTCCAAAGAGAGATTCTGCTTATCAATTTCTCGAAACGCTGGTCGCTATGCATACAACTGCGGTAGTCAGCAGCTCTGTGCGTCGAGCAATCTATCTTACTTATAGATGTACTTGTACGATAGAAAGAGAGAAAACGGCGAAGAATGTGACCAGTATGAAGGTACCACATTATTCAGATACTTGACACCTGCAGACATCTGACGATAGTGAAGACATTAACAGTTGGCGTTACAGACAGTTAGAAGCAAGATACACAGGTAAGTTTGATGGATATGGTCTCTACTCTGAAACAAGAGGGACCGAAGAATGGTCTGATGGGTATGTTGAGGAAAAAATGCAATCTACAAAGCCAATCGTAGCTGAGTGGTTGAGATAAAGGGTAAGGAGCTAAAGGAGGGTGGAGAGTAACAAAAGCAGCTAACAAAATCTGAATTCTGTATAGGTAGAGGAGATTAAAGTTTTGCACATCTAAGCACGTTCAAGTCTCAAAGTGGAACTGAAAGAAAGTAAATATTCTCGTATTCTTTTAAAAGTGCAGAAATTGTTATGAAAAAAAGAAGGTGAAATCTATTGTAGAACTCTTATAAAAATTGCATAATGTCTACATCATGAAGAGCTCGTTGCTCCTGCTATCAACCGAAGATGATTATTGAGCAAAAAGGAGATGAGACCATCCCTATTGATACACTCACCTGTTGATTATACATTTTTTTAACGAAATCTTTCTGATAGTGACAGTAATCTGCATATCTGTTGTCTTCACCTATTACTGATACAATGAAATTCATGGTGTGGGATTTTATCGGCACTATTTAAGCTGAGTTCTCTATATCGAATCATTATCAAATTAACAGCTTTTATCAAACCGTATTTGAATGGGACAAAGTCTACATACAAATACTCTTTCCTCTTGAACCAAAATCTACTCTAATCACGCTTCCAAAAAATCGTTTCTATAAAAACGAATTTGGTTTGATTAATGGTACATTTGTCGCGTCCAAGATAATCATAAAATACAATTTTAGACGCATGCTTGGGTGCAGCTCGTCCAAGATGCTAGTCTTCACTGCGGTAAAATCCTCTTTTTCATTTGTAAAATTACCATTAATTAAATGTGTTTAGTTACTTCTAATCGTGCAGTACGTATCACCAACATACGGTGAGATTTTGTTCTAGAATTTGCCAGTTTGCTTCATGCAAAACGAATTTACAAAATTCATCGGTCTTGTCTGTATAAATTGAGCACACATTCAGGTGCATGCTTTGATGCCGTTCTCGAAGATACTATAGTAAAAGCTCATAATGACCTGAGGTTTGATGTTGCGACCAAAAATTTAAATGCCAAAATGTATGGAGACATTCCAGGAACGAAGAGTTTGTTCAACTTGGTAGGCATTTATTGCTCAATAATACCATCTCCGGTAGCTTCCTAATAAAGGGTAGAAGAGGGGTAGTGAGTCATACCCCCCCCCCCCCCCGACCACGCTTAGGATTCTCAAAGGACGCGTCAAATGACAAAAAAAAATTATGCGGTTGTCACTAGTTGGCTGAAGGAGCTTCTATTTAGAGTCTAGGACTCATTGTTCCACGAACACTTCAGTCATGAAAGCAATTTTATCAAAGGCAAAGTGCCATATTTTTAGGAATTTGATTGCGGCTTCGCACATCTTGCCGAAGCACTTATACCGAAGGACTGCCTTAGACCGGCTCTCGACTATTCTTCAATGGGATACGGCAGTAATTTTAGAAAGTTTGTAAAGAAGACCTCCGCACTTATGTATAAATCATGCCACTTTATTCAGGTTCCGCACACCCAAAAGAGTTGATGAATCAGATATAGATTATCTCGCGGAATATTACAACATAATCGTACAAGAATGGGCTATGAAGGACATTGTTCCTCTTGATTCTAATGCTGTATACAAGGATAAACGCATGGAAGCTTTTGCTAACGTGAGTCTTCACTGGTGGCTCTCTTAAAACAGAATCGATTTTTACGGTAGTACAAAAAAAACTTGGAGAAAAGGAGAGAGAAAAATAAATAGAAGGAAAAAAGAAAAAAGCGAAAATCTGTGCTAGATTGCTAACAAAATATCTGCAACATTTTCACAATATTTGCTCCCGATTTTCTACCAAGCTAAGGGAGGCCCATGAAGGACCGAGAGAAGAAAATCACGCACTGTTTCAGATGGTTTATTACAAAACTATTGCGTTTGGATGCAAGCACAGAACCTGCGATGACACCACAATGGCTATCGCATGTGTGTACGAATCACTGTGAGTGAATTTCTATCTGCCTTTTTTTATTTGTGAAAAGGTATTTACAGTACAATAACACTATACCTCCCCTTTTTAGACCAAAGATTGGCGAACCACTTTTCGTGCCAAATCCACAAGCGAAAAATAAGAAAGGATGTACAGCACATAAGACTTGCAAAGAGGTTAGACCAGGAACCAAATGTATGCAAAATCCAGATGGTACATTGGGACCCCTCTGCGTACTCCATGACAGTGAGTTCCTGAATTTTTGATTTATAACGAGGTAATGAATGCCTTAAAAGTACACCGTTGATTAATTGTTTTTACGGGCGGTTTCCAATGTCGTAAAATACAATAGCTTATTTATAAAAATCTTCGTGCATAATGATATTCTAATTGACTCAATGTTAGCTAACAAGGAAAGAGGTCTCAATGGAAGTAGTCTTTTCAATGATTTTCGTACTTACTAAGCTTTTATCAACTTGCAACGATTCCACGAAAAATCTAACATATTAGGTTGGTCCGAAAGTTTTGTCCCTCCATTTTCAAAAAATCATAACTTTTGAAGTAACAGCTCGATCAGCACGAAATTCGACAGCTGAAAAGAGCAAATCAAAAAGTCTAGGATAGTGGCTGTTTTGGATTTTATGGCACAGTTTCGGAATTTTTAACAGGCTTGCTTAAAAATTCCGACTTGAAGTGATTTCATTATCCCATTTTTATCTCTGCAATCAGAGCTTAGTAGATAGCAGGCAAGGTAATTTTAGAAAGGGCATAATTGCTTTTTTCAGTATGGTTTTAGCCATGCAAAAACATCGCGTTAGGAAGAAGTTATGATTTTTTGAAAATGGAGGGACAGAACTTTCGGACCAACCTAATATAAGGAATCGCGATGCCAATTCAATAAACATCAGATAGCGGGAAACCGCAGTGTGGTCCCGAAGCGCGGGAATGCAACCTAGATGGTTACTGCTTCACTAGTACTACCGAAAAAGGACGCGCAGCCCATACAAAATGGTCCAGAATTGCTAAGGTCTATTTATCATTAGGTACTTTGGGCAATAGATACCTCTTCGAGTGCTGGAGCGACAGTAACAATTGCTCTTACCTACATTTGCATTTTTGCTCTCACTTTCTTCTCTGCAGCTCAATTTGTACTTGTTCAACCTAACCACTTGAAGGTTTATACTACCAAATTGAAAACTGCATATTATTGGAAACCAGAAAGATGACATGTTTATTCTAGGAACAACTCCTGGCCGATTGGGAATGATTTCTAAAAAGTTCTCAAATCAAAATTCCTAGTTGCTCACAGGCATATCAATAGTCTCTCAAAAAATAATTTCTTTTATCCATACTCTCATGACCACTGTATTTCTAGTTACAACCACAGCCTCCACTGAAAGCACCACAACTTCTGCGACAATAACACCCACGACTACATCGACGTCTACTTCAACCACGACATCTATTTCGAGCACAACGACTACAACGACACCTACGACTACTTCGAGTACAACAACTACAACAACACCTACGACTACTTCGAGCACAACCACAACGACGCCAACGACTACTTCGACTACAACTACTACGACTACAACACCAACGCCAACAACTACTTCGAGCACAACTACCACTTCTACGACATCAACAACCACATCTACAACAACTTCCACTTCAAGCACAACAACAACTACCGCGGTTCCAACGCTGATGACTGCGGAGATGCGAGAGGAATTGCTTGGAAAGCTGAATTATTATAGGTAGGGGCATCTTCGTGCACTATAAGTAAGCGCGAAGAGTTTGAAAGATGAGGACTGATTTCCATTTGCAAGTTATTGTTAAAACTAACTATCGAAATTATGGAATTAAGTGTTTTGGAATAGGATCTCTTGCGAGCAAAGATGCCCTAAATAGTCAGCTTTTATTATTATGTATTTTCGACCACCTTCAAATACTGACTGCAAAACTGCTGTTATAATATCATGTTAAAAGTTGTGGTAGTCAAAAAATTCATTGATTTTACGGTAGATCGGAGCTGGCTAAGGGAAATGTCAGAAATGGAATAGAAGGAAAAGCCAATCTTCCGGTAGCCAAGGATATGTACGAAATGGTATGCTCTTACAAAGTTACAACCCTCTGCAGTATTTTGAAAATTAAAAAAAATTCTACCATTTTTTGGATACTCTGCAGATATCTCTACCAATGCAAACTCGTCCTTAACAAGAGTTGTCAATTTTTAGCGATATGATATGGACCTTGAAAAAGAAGCTCAAGCCGCAGCTGATAAATGCGATGCCACATCAGAAGTGCAATCAAGGGATGGCCAAATTGCTCAGCTAAACGAAACGTCATTTACCGAAAAGGAAGTGCTTCTAGGGGTGGGAATTATGTTATTTGGCAAACGTTATTCAAATAGCTTTTATTCTAGACACAAGAATCATGGTTTTGGCAAATATTGAAAAACGGCATGAATTATCAGATGCAGTACACAGAAACCTTGGAATCGAAGCCTTCTTCACCAAACGCATTCACTCGGGTACGTAGGTCTTACTACTACCACTCGGAAAGTTTACCGAAAAAAGTTGTTACGTATTTTTTACTTTCAATCTATTTAGATTGACTCATTATTTGAACATTTACGGAAGGTTGCTATAAAATTCAAAATCTCTGCTGGGTACTCAAACGATATTTCCGAATTTACATGATGGAACAAATTTCTGATGGATTGCAAACTCCCTTGCGCTATCACCCCTTTTTGAAGCCTTTTGATCAATTTCTTTGGAAAATGACCCTAAAAAGCGTCGTAAAAGGGTAAAGAAGGGGAGAAAACCCAAGAAATTAGAAGTAAACTTTATGAAAGATAGGTGCTTGCATAATCGCCAAAATTGGGTTCGGACTCAAGTATTGAGCTATGCCTAACAGAATTTCGCTTATTTTTATGCTAACCTCGCAAGAACTTTGAAGTGATAGTTCCAGTTAGAGAAAAAAACTGCTTCAGAGTGTTTCAGAATTGTTCAAATCACGGAACGAGGCCAAATCAACTAAAAACAGTACATGAATTTTACACTCGTTTTTGCATGTTCATTAAGCCCCATATTTTGTCTGTATTAATGATAGACCAGGGATCCATCTGTATTCATTTGTTCACAATGACTAAATCTTTACATCGCAGATGGGATGGGCTAAATCCTACAAAGTCGGCTGTGGAATGGCACACTGCAGCGCTGGCACTGCTATCATCTGTCGCTACGATCCACCGTAAGATTTGATTTGCGATCTCCTGTACTTGCTCAAAGCGAAAACAGCCTTATTGTATCTTTCTTAATTGTTATGCTCAAACAAACGCTTTCGTCTTTGCATGCGAACATTTCATAATATACTTTGCAGAGGTAACCAATACGGCCAGTACGTTTACACGCCCGGCAGTGAAAGTGACCTCTGCGCTTCCTGCAGTGGCTCGTGCAATGACGGACTGTGCCCACCACCAATTAATTGATTGGCTATTAATTTTCCAACAAATAAGAGCTATTGAAAATAAAATTTTCGTATATTGATTATGTGAAAATCAAGAAAAAGTCTTATACGAAGCTGAATTTCTGTTTGTCTGTGTGTGTCTGTCTATCTGTACGTATCTTCCGAATAGAAAATTCCATTTCTGAACCGATTCGGACTACACGTATCACACATGTACTTCTGAAGAGCATGATGATTACGAATATATTCATTTGCAAAGCGGGCGGAGCCGGCTTTGCCAGCTAGTTGCTCATACAGCCCAGACACTTGGTGGTACTCCAAGATAATTTTCAAAGGTGAAACAGATAAAATGACTGAAAAGGAATGCAGTTCTGTACTTGTCAGCCTACATTACCAAACGCCTCTTTTGACTTGCGGCGTTCAGACCTTGTCTCAGCACAACGTACTTTAAACAACTCGAAGTGGTAGACACCAACCTTCAATCCACCGTGAAGTCAGCAGTCCGCGCGACTGCGATGGACATCACTGAGGGCTGCTCAGTGAGTCAGGGACGTTTATAGTCTCAGGATAAGGATGACACGGAAAGAAAACGTTCTGTAGTCATGATCGGAGTTCTTGAAAAAAGGAACCTCGCTACTTACTTTAGAGTGAATCATGATCGCTTATGTGTTGAGCAAATATTGGACTTTCTTGGAATTGAATGTACCCCAGTTTGTGTTTATAGCATGGGAAGACCACATTCTTCCTATAATAGACTCCCTAAAGTAGTTCTTCCCTCCTCACACTTTGTTAGTGTGCTCCTACGTCGAGCACCTCGTATGAAGAGGTTTTCTTATGCCTCTAGTTTCATAAGATCTCTCTTCCCAAGGAAGAAAGGGAAAAACTTCGGAAAGAACGAGTGGCTCGACGTAGTGTAAATCGATCGATGGCCTCAAGTCAGTTGGCAAGAGCAGGAATTGTTTGTAATGATACTATTGATGTATCTACCATACCAGCTCACGGATGCTCATTTTATTAGTTCTTTAATTGTGTAAAACTTCTTCGGACTGTGGGTCATTGTTAAGCATGTTTTTTGGCCAATGCGAGGCCTCTTTGCAGAAATATCGACGGTCTCGACTACGTTATTAGGCGGGAAAATTTTGCAGTTATCAATGAAATTTGGTTAAGTGAAAAAGTCAATGATAGCTCCCTCTTTGGCAGTCTTCAAAAATATGTAATCCACAGATGCGACCGTGCATTCGGAAGAGGAGGGGAAGTGCTACTTATTATTAGGCGTAATTTAAATGCTCATTTGGTCTTTAGCGAATCCGAACAGGACGGCTACGAAATACATTGCGTTGACATCGCCTCCTTTAAACCATCGCGAATTGTTCTGGTCTACAGAACACCCTCCTGCAGCGCCAACAAAACAGAACAGTTACCCAAGGTGATCACTGATCTTTTGGGTTGCAGTAATTCCTTGGTTCTCATAGGCGACTTCAATTTTCCTAGCATCGATTGGGACAACCCCTCTGCAACTGAAAACCATGGTGCTACTACCAAGAACTTTTTAGACATGTGTAATATATATGGGTTATCCCAGAAAGTAGTACACCCATACCCGAGGCCATAATATCCTAGACTTGATC